GGATTGATACTCCCTCAAGGAAAAAAGTTCCCATGTGCAACTAGTTATATATGCTTAATAACTTGCACTTATTAAAGATAAAAAAGGATCAGAATTATAGGCTTAGCAAGGATTAGCAAGCATAAGTGCGTATTTCTGCAACTACTACACTTTTTATAGCCCTGTCACACTCCGAGATAGAGTTGTATCATTATATAGAGTTATATAACCATAAAGAGTTATATCACTGGAAGCATTACAGCATTGTCCCAGACAGTCTTGATTATCAAAGTCTGGCTCTATCAAGCAAAAAAAAACAAAACCAAACCAACTTCAGGATATTGCTGTGCCATCTCCTGACCCCATTTGTCAACAGCACACGGTCCTGAGTTGTAGGGGCCTCATTAACACATCTTTCATCCTAATTCAGGATCCCATCAGTATTCACCAGAACTTCCCAATCACTTCCAGCAAGTGACAAGCCTGATATTTCACTCAAAAGAGACTTAAGATAACCAGTGAGAATCCTAGCCGAAAAAACTTCCAAGTTTACCTAGAGGCTACATTTTTTTCTTCACTGATGATAACAAAGCGAATAAAGTCATTGCACAACTAGGTGAAACTCCACTATTAGCCAAAAAATGCCAGTCTTTTTTTCTGTCCTTAAACTTTCAGTTCAATATAATCCACAGCACTCCTGGCTTCAAAAAGTGTCAACATTTTAAGTGGTCCCATTTGCCCTTCTAATAGTTAGGGCCCAGAAAAATGGCTTCATTTTTTTCCACCATATACACGTAAGATTATTACCACCGTGTGTCTTTGGAGGGATTGAGAGTCTTCAGATGTTTTTAAAAGGCTATTGGGTAAAGACAGAATAAAAGCACAGCAAACTGATAAAAGCATCCAACTGTGACCCTACAATGGTACAAACATTAAAAAAAAAGATTCTTTGGGTTTTATTCTCTAGAAGAAAATACAGAATACGATCTTCCATATGCTAGTAATGGTCTTTGACCTCTGCTATGTAAGGCATTCAGCCAGGACACCTGGGGATCTGGCTCTCTACCACCACAGGCAGGATCTATTGCTTGGTACTGAATCCAGATCAGACAAATGTTCGTATTACCAAAGAGGAGCAAAGACCAGACAAACATAGGACAGCTCCTGCGCCAGTAAATAAGGCACTGTCCCATTGACCATCAAGTGCAGCCATCATCTCCTGTGACATCTCCTGCCCCATCACTAATTCTCATGCCTCTTCTTTCACACTGCCACCATGCACAGCTCATCCAGCCACCAACTCAAGAGCCAAGCCACTACAAACCACAAGCCAAGACAACGGAAGGTGTTCTCCCTACCCTCCAGACCTGTACAACTGCCAGTTGCATCTTCGCCCAAGAGTGAACATATCAATCAGGTGGCTGATGTTGCCTTCCGTTATGTTCACCACCCCTACTTCAGATGCTGGGTTTTTTTTTTACACTTTTGCATGATTAGATACCTTTTAAGTAATCTTCTATTTACAAGGATACAACAGTACTTTTTGGTCACTGTTACACTGCTATACATCATAGGTCTCCCACACAGGGCCCAGCAATAATAGATACCAGCATGGGTAAGTCAGTCAAATCCTTAGTGTTCAACTGCCTGTACCCTCTCAGAAAACAAGGGCTTTGATCTCTGTCACTATATTTTATGAGAGGAAGGTAGCTTTTAAATATCCCTTTTCTCCAGTCTTGCTTGTTTCAACAGCTTTCTGGACTGCAACAAATTCACAGTCTCCTGGGTGACCTGGGAAATTTTTTCATTACTTTTACTCCCTCCTGCAAGCAAAGCCCCCTCTTCCTCCTCCTCCTCCTTTCTGACAGCATTAACACACAGGTAAGCAGAATCACACAGCATCTGTCGCAGTGCCCCAGACCTCTCTAACTCCCCTCGCTTGCACAGGGCTAGTCCCCGTGATGTCAATTGTGGTTTTTTGTACCAAGCCCGTAAACAAGCGTGGTTTTGAGGCCATACCAGGAAAAAAAATCCCACCTCTCCCTTGCAATGTGCTTTGTAGTAAGTCAACTGTTTTCTTTTATTTGTATGTCCTGTTTTCACAAATACAACAAGCTCCTCCACACTTCTGAGCAGTTCTGCATCCTCAGCACCAGGGCACCGCTCCCTGTCCCCCGGAACTGCTGTTCCCTTGCAAGGTCTACACAAGATGCCAACCTTGTTGCAGCCTCTGCAAGCAGATCTGGCAAACCCAACCATTTATTTCCAGGAGCCAGGACACACAGACACCCTGCAGTGTAGATACTCCCATTGCTATGATTTAAATACCAAATGCTTGTACGTCATAGGAGTGTGATATACTGAAGCTTCACAACAAAGCAACACACCTTTGAACAGTGCAGAATATATTGGTACAGGGAGATTATTGCATAATGGCATCAATATTTTATTTCTCTTGAATTTTTTATCTCAAATTTACTGCTCCCATAAGTAATAGACAGTAAGTCATCTGCAACATAGTTACTTATGTATTATGTATTGCATGGTCCTGGCAGAATTTCTGAAGAAAAAACCTTCTTTTATAAAGAAAAAAAAAAAAAAAGCCCTTTCAACGACAAATCCCAGCACTCAACAGCAGTATTTTACTGAAATGCATTTTACAAAAGTTTAAAAATTCTCCACTAAATTGTAATATATATGTTTACCAATCTCATAATTCAAAAAGAAAGTGGCCTGACAGCTTCTAAGCACATTGTAATGTTATCTGCAAGGACAATGAATTATGCATCTCTCATAGCACTGACAAAACAACACTGTGATCCCAGTGCCGCGGGATCCCACAGATCTACCCAGTTGAGACACAAAGGGTAATGCAACAGTGCTGGTTTCCCATCCTTATAGTAAAATGATGCAAATATTTGAGTATGATTTTTCTTATATGAAGAATATAAAAGACAAAGCTCTAATTTATGCAAAGGCAGAAGAAAAAATGGGTCAACGGTTTGCAATTATGGAGCTTCTTGGGCATATTGATCAATGTTAATCAATGCTTTAATCAAAGCACCCTGAGCAAATTCTTAAGACTCCAATCATACGCCTTAAAGGCACTTAAGAGATGTGGCTATACTGCCTTCTGCGGGGTTTTGTTCTATGTTGGTTTTGTTGGGGGTTTTTTAAAGTACGACTTTGACAGAAGTAAGCGCTTTTTAAACATGCAGTCAAACCTCTCTGGCTGCTGACGACACTATTTTGCAATGTTCATATTTAATACCTGGCATTTCAACTAATGGTACCCTTCACAGGAGAACAGCAGTACACAAGTTACGCACTTTGCAGCTATTGCTCTTTACCACGGGAACGTATATTGTTCCTATAATGGATGCCAGGTAGATTCTACTCCTCCTCAGCCACAAGACAGGGAGGGGGAGAGCTCAGCCCCCCAGCACATCCCGGCCTCCCCAGGGAAGGCAGCAGCGTACGAATCTCCCAGGCCAAGGCAACGTTCATCATTTCTGTATTTGGGAACCACCTCCAATACGTTTTCCCTGTCACTCCTCAGTGCAACCATGTACTGCGGAAATTGGGGCAGGGACAGCGACAGGGCAGGGGGAGGGGTGGGAGGGTGTCAGGGGCTGGTTCCATGTGTAATACATCTCAGTACTCCCAGAAAGCATCAAATAGGAAATCCTACAAGATGATCTTTGCAAAGACTGGCTTTTTCCTTGATGACCTCCCACCACATATTACACACACTGCAGCAAGGAGCCATTCCCATGCCTTCAGATCTCTACAATTAAAGTCCTTTCAATTAACTGGCATTTATCCTAAAAAAATCAAATTATTTCCAGGCAGAATTCCATGTTACGAAGCTAAAAGTGAAATAAAGGAACACTTGCAGGTTGTTAACTAAATTGTAGAGGCAGTAAAGTTTATGATGGCTGAGAATGTATTCCTGTATCAGGATCTTATAACTTTAGGGATAATACTCTCTAGACAAAAAAAAAAAAATAAAATGTGTTATTGGTGTTAGCCCGAAGGGAAACCTTTCATTTTATTTTAAGTCTGCCCATGTAAATCTACTATTCAGTTATCCAAACACATATAAGTGTTATCTAGATCATAAAAAATTAGTTTAAATCCTGTTTGCATTCAAACGACACCAAGTTTATTCTAAAGACGGTGGCTTAGAGCACACATAGCTCTCAGTGAGAAACCAAGCCTTCTCTAAGCGTGAAGAAAAAAACATAGCAACAAATTAATCATCAGAAGGCAACTTTCAAGAGAAGATGGCATGTGGACACAGTGGCATAAATGCCCTTCTTTATGTAAGTGTGTGTATTTTACCCAAAGCAATACACACACGAACCTGACAGAAGACACATGTCTTATAACCAAAGCAGAGGAGGCTGCTAGATCCTCTTCACATTCCCCCACCATTGCCCTCTTGTGCAAGGCTGCAGGTCTGCCCACAGGTTGTGAGGTGATGAGAGAACGGCACATGTCAAACACAATCACCAGCAGCTGTCAAGTAACAAGTACAACATCCACTGCCATGCAGTCATCATTGCTGACCAGTAATAAAGGACCCTAACAGGCTGTTTCTTTCGCATTTCATCTCCAAGAGTGAGCAAAGGAGGAAAGATCAACATCTCAGCACAAAGGAGCTGCAATTATTTTTTTCTGAAAAGAAGATACCAGTTCCTTAGGACAAGGGTCTCCCAAAACAACACAGCATTAAAATTACTCAAAACTATGTAATTTTTAGCAAATGCCAGCTGTAGTGAAGAAGTAGTGAAACTACAAAGAGAAAGGAAGGCTTGTGACTCTGGCAAAATGTTGTTAGGGAATTTCTACTCATGGTGATTTATCTTCTATTTTAAAGCAATAACTTAAGAGAGTGGTCAAAAAACATTTCCTGAATTCAAGACACAGATCACAGGCATGACACGTCCCTGTCACAGGACTGAGCTCAAGCATGCACTTTATCATTTACGAAAAATAATAGTGTATTTCATATTTACCTTTTGTTGAATCATCTTCAATCGGTTGTTTGAACAAAGTGATATCCTTAAAAGTGCACAAGAACAAAACCACTTTTTCATGCTCATTTCTTATAGGTGCAATTTGCATGTAGAACCAAACTGGAGTTCCTGAAGCAGAGAAAAAGGTGACATTGGACTGTGGTGTAGCAGAAACTTTCCCCAGATCGTACACAGAATACTTCATCATTTGTATGTTATTATAACACATGCAGTTTAGGATCATATCTCAATATTTGTATATCATCCAGATCTTTTTTTATTTACCTCCTCAAAGGAAACCAACATATACCCATTTTTACAGCTTCATTAATCTAATTAGACAATAAGCAGAGAGACAGGAGGCTTTATAAATCTCCACTCTGAAATAAAATATATTATTCTTCCCCTCTTGCTGTTGTTTTTTTTCCCAGCATGTCTCACAAACTTAAGTGTCTGCAAGGTAGGAAGATAAGAAAAAATTGGATGGATGCTGTCTTTGATTCCTTCTTCACACAATATGGAGCTATCAAATCCAAACCTGATGGACTAGAGTGTCAAACGCTCCAAGTTTGATGCTACTCCATTGCTTAAGAGGACCTGAGCTAATCCAGACACAGTCTCTAAATGTCCTATCAAGATAAAACAGGAGATTTTATTTCCTTCTTGTGTTTCAGGGCATACTCTCCACCTCCTCACTGTCCTGCCCAGTGCAGCACTCTCCCAGTGCAGTTATCTCTATTTAGCTTTTGAAATAAATGCAAAATATTTTTCAAATCCTACCACCCATCAAATAAACAGCCAAAAAATGCCTGCAGTGTTGGAGTGGTTAGCATGGCTTTTTGGAAATCCTCACTGTTCACCTGCTCCTGCAGGTGCTCGGGAGCTGAAACTGCTCTTGTTTCCTCCTAGGCTGAAACACACATGGCAGTCCCCTATGTACCTCCAGGTCTGCTCTGTAAGGGATGAAACCCTAAAGACTTTAAGCAATTTGCTCAGAACACCTTGTTCACCTGCAGGGACGTGAATGTCAGAGATGCTTTCCATCTGGCAAACCTCCAGGCTTACAGCCATGTCCCCTCCCTCCCAAACTTGCACCTACACACACTGCACTATAAATGCCTTCACAGCCAGCTAATTAGCTTTGGGATTTGATGTGCTTTCAGCCAGTTGACATAATGACTTTTCTCCTGAGCTGCCTGAATGCCAGCCTGAGAGCTGACATGTTGAGACAAGCTGCTTGCCCACTGTTATCCCACAGGCACCACTGTGCCCCCCCCACCCCCCTCCCCCCCAAATCTCCTCTAATGCACCATGTCTGGGAGCTGTGCCAGGAACTGCAGGATAGATGCCCAGAGGGCAATGAAACCCATTTGGACTAGGACTATTGTGGGGAAGGTTAAAATCCACAAGGATTCATGACAAAATTCAGCATTGCTGAACTGGGATTAAACAGTAACTCACTAGATGTAAACTGTAGAAGAGGGAGAGATGGGGGACTGCTTTTTATGATAATTCCAAAGCCACTATGCTGATTGCTTGATTATCTCAATTCCTGGTTGCTAACCCAAGCTAAAAGACTCTTTTCATATCCTCTAAAACAGTGTTGCAGCTCTCTGGAGCAATACTGTACCTGCACTTATACCTGGCAACTCATCGGCACCCTACAAGCAGCTCTGAAAGAAAGGATGCAAAATAACCTGTACAACAGCACACTGATAAAAGTCAAAGACAGAGGCAAGGTGGCAACTGCTGTAGAAGCAGCAATCTGGGCAAAAGCAGGCAAAGAAGATTCCTGAGTATTACCGTATATATATATAAACATACACATACATATATTTATATATACACATACATACATATAGATATATATGCACACCTAACATGGTTGCTGAATAGCTGGGTGTGGAGAGCTGAGGACTATATATGAGGGAATGCAGTAAAGGAGAAAAAAGTTGTAGCAAACTTTCAAGTCTGAACCTAAAACCTGCAAACTCGTTTAAAATGCCAAGGGGGCATGTGAAGTCAGCAGTCATATGGATGCTGCCAGAGAACATCAGCTCTTAAAGATCATCTCTGTGCTAAAGGAAATAAGGATGGGAAAACAACCTGAAAATCTCAAAATCTGCCACTGCCAAAAGCACAAAGGAATGGGTGAGAAGAAAAAAAAAAAAAACATGGTTGTGCCACATCATCAAAAACACACAGCACCTCTGGACCTGTAGTTTGAAAATGTGGGTGGGAGGGTGCTCCAAGAGCACTGCAAGCTCCATGCAGGGTTTCTGCAGGTGATAAACAGAAGCCCTTCCACAGACTGTCTACATTTTGCAGAAGTATACTCATACCAACAGATAACTATTCTTTATTTCTTTATCTGCTCCAATATTCAGCCTGGAGGATAAGCAGGTAGTTTCTTGAAGGACCTTCTTCCACAAGGCTCAGAGTATGACAAATGGAAGCAAACCCCGGGCAAACCAGCTGTTGAACAGGAGCCAAAAGGTGAGTCCATTAGTGTTAGCAAGGGGTTGAAGTTCTGGGCTTCAGGTGATGGAGGAGAGAGCTGGCAACAGATGTTATGGATGGGAACTGACTCAAGCCTGAAAAGAAATATGAGTACTTTTCCATAAAGTCTTTCTGTAATCCTGCATAACTTATGGAAAGTATGGGCTTGAAGATCTGGGCAAAGGTGAAGATTTTATTAAGGCAACTGCAGCTCAATAAATCTCTTAAGCATCATCAAGCTCCAGCAGACAATCCACAACCCTAAGCAAATGTGACTGGCTTCTAACAAAAAAGTCACCACGAGAAGGCTTTCCTCTTTTTACACTTAAATAAAATAGCAAGGAATTTAGTTCAGGACTGGCTTATGCTAGAGCAGGAGCTGCCAGCCCAGTTAATAAGAGAAGCCAGGATCAGGGAGAGCACAGGGTCTCTGGAATCCTCTTCAGAGATCACACACACACAGGTCATGGCGGGGCTGGGCACCACCACCTGCAAAGATATCCAACAAGAGCCTGTCCTGGGAAATTCCGCTAATGTGAGGGGAGCGTCCAGGTGGCCTGCATAGGAAACCGGCAGAGAAGCAGAAAATCTAGAGAACAGACACATCCATACATTGAGGAACCAAAAAGAGGTCATTTGGAGGGCTCTCCTGGGCACCTGCAGAAACAGCTGGACTTCAGAGCTGCTCTTGCTTCTCTTTTTAATTAAAGTGTTGGCTAAAATGCTTTGAAGCAGGCAAAACTGGAGAAATCTAAAGATACTCCCTACTGTTTAAGTGCACATACAGGAAGATTTAGTCTAAAAAGGGGAAGTGGAAGTAAAGCATAATGCCTGTGAGTTTGTTTCAAGAAGATGAGGTATCCAGGATGCTCTCTTCAATGTCATGAAAGGTTTATGTGAGTTTGCACTAAAATGGGGCAGTAAGGCACAGTTGAGTCTTTCCTGAGGCATACGATTACCTTCCCTCAGCCACAGCATGTGAGGAAACCTCCAGCCTCACCCCATTAAGGCGCCCCATGCCAGCACCAAAGTCCACCCAGAGGAGAGCATGGTCTCAGCTACTGGGCTCCTAGCAGCTGAACCACGGGGAAAGCTCCCCAGCCCCACAGGACCTGCACCCTGTACTGGGCAACGAAAGCAAAACTGAACAAAACATCTCCATCGACCTTGATCTTGGCTTGTGTTTGACATGGCCACTGACCCAGTCAACTAGACTCATTCTGCTCAGGGTAGCAGAAACAGCTCTGATAGTTTTGGCTTTCTCTTTTGGGAAGATGGCCTGTGCCAGTGGAGGAGGCTGCTCACCTCCACGTACAACAGCAGGAGTTTCAACCACCAGCCCTGGAGAGATGTCCACATCGCACAAGCCCAGTGTGAGACCACACAACAGTGTGCTATAACACTGATAAGACAGAAGTAGTACTACCCACATATGTGGCAGGACAGAATACGTGACTGGAGTCACTCATGGTTAAGATAAAATGAAGAAAACCTTCTCTGGTTCTGGCAACCTCCTGCAAATCCAATGCCACCAAGAGGAAGGGACTTCAGTCCTACATCTCATTAAGTTACAAAATCCCCTGGTTTTCTAATTAATCCCTGTGTTATGTGACAAATTTAGTACTCTCACCAGAGCTCACATGTGTTGGTTTACACACCATGGAGGCATTTTGACACTGCTGGGAGCATCCACTCACGGCACACAGGGTCTGGGTTCTCACTTGTGGAGACATGGGGGTGTTTCCTGAGGGATGTGGGGGAACCTCATTCAGGATTTCTTTTCACTTAACCCAGTCATTTTCCCTTCAGGGAAACAATCCTCAAAACTAAATATATTTTGGAAAGAAGGAGTCAGACTAGAGACAGCAGGGAGCAACTACTATTCTTGGCATTCTGAACACTTGTCCTGAAAAAAGAGCTCTCTTCTTGAGCTGTGGCAACCAAAATACCCATTTCTTCTCCAAACCTTGCCCCAAATTTACCCATATGTCAAAATGAAAATGTATTTTAATCTATTATACACTTTAAATATGCTTTATCACGCCCAACACCATACACAAATGTATACATACTGTTTTTCTTGTAGAGGAGAATTTCAAAGCAGTTTGACTCATAGTTGTCAAAAGTCTGTCTGACTTTTTCAATGGTCTTCTTGTCTGTCAGTTCACCATACATAAAACTGAAAGAGAAAAAAGGTTTCTCTTCTTACTAGAGAAGCAACAACTTTGTTACAGTTACCTTAAACAGCATAAGCACTGGAGATGCTATTAACTGTCATTTACCAAAGTTTAATTATGATTTACACTTCATTACAATATTTAGTGTGTAAACTACAAATACTGAGTAACCATGACCACCTTTTTACTATAAATGACAGCAAATAAATGTACTGCAATATTTCATTAAGTGCTCTTCTGAGCATATGTTTATGGATATATTGTTAGAAAAAGAGCTGATACCTATAAAACCATTATTGCCACAGATGCAGGCCATGTGAATATTGCTGTCAAAAAGAGAAAACAGAACAAAACCTCTAAAACCTCCCAAATCTTGTTCAATCCTCTTGAAAAGGCTTCTGGAGGACGAATGAAAGCTACTACAGGTAAAGCTGTTGGCCGAATCAATGGCTACAAATCTAATCTTGTCAAGATGCATCTAGGACAATAAGATAATTGGAATCCTTTTACTGAATACCGATTACAAACAGAGGCAGGATTTAACCAATATTCAGTGAGGACCATAATGCTCTGAAAATTCACCACAGAAAGCACATGTATGAGTTGTCTCAGTGTGGCTGCATCTGCACTACTACCAAACACAACCAAATCCACCCTCATTTTCCTTACTGTATACTGCATTTTTTTAACATTTCAGTGAAAATACAGAAAACATTAAAATGCTTTTGGAGACTCATCCCTCTCCAGGCTGAGAATATAAAAATATAATTTTAACTCTGCTATTTCTTGCCACTTGACCATCTCATCTTTGCATTCTTTTCCAGGTCAGACTTTCAGCTGGTGTAAGCAAACCCAATCTCCTGACCTTACTTTTGAAGGAAGCCTTTGTAAGGAAACAGCCAGGCTTTTATTGTCATTCTTCCCTGGATTAAAAACAAGCGAAGACCACTCTGTGCAAATTCCCAATTACAGAACTGAAGGAAAATGGAACATGAGATAAAAGCTCTCAGACACTTGGATGAATATACTTTTAATTGATCAAGCCATTTTTTTTCCCCCATTCTCTTTGTTTACAGTTTGAGTTTCAGCTGAAATCTACAACAGACAACCCTGAGAATGTGAAAGAGTAAAGTTATCAGTGCCTCTGCGGTTTCAATGCAGCTTCTCTTTTATTGATCAACAGACCTCCAAAGGTTCAATAAACATTTATTTTGTGTCTACTGTTCTGAAAGAAACAATAAAACACCATAGTGGTTAGTGACTCGGCAAGCATTAAAATACTCAATGAAGGCCAGACCATGAATCCTTTCTTTACACAGCCAACCAAGGGAGGTAATGGGGCTGCTCCCTGAATAAGGTGCTGCCAGCTTGGGTGATGGAGGCAGACGGGGGGCATCAGAGTGACTACAACATCTGTATGTCACTACAGGCACTTCTTCACTGCTAACACAGGGAGAGCTATTGATAAATGACATATCATAACTATTACCTTCGAGACAGCAACATAATGGAGACGCCACTACGGCAACTGATGTCAGGAAATGGTTTTACCAGGGCACAAGGCTTCATTAAGGTGCTGCTCAGCATTAACATACACAGCCGTCTTCAGGAAGTGCAAAACAGCCTACTGCTCATTTTCAAATGACCTGCCTTTCTTTCCCGAGTTCAGCTGATAACCTTTTTACATTTATATATGAGATAATAAAAAGAGTTTGATCTTTTTTTTTTTTAAAAAAAAAAAAAAACACAACAAAAAACCCCCCCCCCCCCCCCCGAAAAAAAAACAACCCAAAAAAACCCCTAAGCCTTTTTTAATGCTCTGATGAGGTAACACAGATTGCTCTCCTGTCTGCAAGACAAAATAAGAGCTGGTAGTTTTCACACAGCCTGTTGTGCAATTGAATTATCTTTTTTGTTTTCTTGAAATTTAAAACAATGTTTCTCTTAGTCCTGAAGGAAAAAATAACCAGAATTTGTTAAAGTGCTTGACTTTGCATGGCCTATAATGCAGAAAGTCATCATTTATTAATATTAAAATTACATGTATGTATATATGACAAATCATACTTGGTGTTCTGAGTGGTGGACAATACCAGTTAGCACTGCTAAATATGATCAACCAATTTTATGTTTTAAATTAAAGCCAGCTTATTACTGCAGTAAAGCTGCAATACTCAAATCTTACATTATTTTCACATATAAAGAGACATTTTAAAGGCTTGTGGAATAATAAAAATATTTTTCAGAAGGCGATTTTTAACAGTGCCGAAGAAACCTCAAAGCCACTCATTGTATAAATTATATAAGATCTTTGCTTATCACAGGTTTAATTTAATTTAGTCTGTCCTATTTTGTACGCATGGAGGGACTCCTACTTCTTCAGTCAATCACTCTGTCTTTTTCTGCCTCATGTGTTTTGTTATTTAGTGCTTGTCGAGCGCCTTCAGTGCAAACTGTACAAGACATAAATATCAAAACCACCCTGCTACTGGGAATCTTACTACCTAGAAAATAGACTTATCAAAGAGATACAAGACTTACTGAAATTTGCAGAGAAAGGCACAGTCTTAGACAATTTCCCCACCTCTGAAACAGACCACTTGTCGTTTACAGTGCCTGGCCTCCTGGCTCCCTTTGAAAGCATCCTTCAGCACAGAAAAGCACATCTAAAGCTTTGTATCGTGCTCTTCTGTCCTTTGTCAGGATCCAGAGCAGCGGCATCAGAACAGCTCCAGGTCTGCAGTGCGTGCCAGGGAGATATTTAACCACTGTCTGTGAGGAACTACCCAGGACAGAGGACAGGTGAAGCCCAGAAGGCATATGATCCTACATCCAATATATAGCTCGGTTCATCCAAAAGCACTGGATGAAAAGGCCTTAATTATAAGAGACAAACATCTACCCAGGAGAAACAGCAAATACAGATACACATCAACAGCTTCAAAATTTTGCAAGTTAAAGAGCAGGCACCATTTCTAAGGAGAAACAATGCAGCTCCCTGGGTCCCACTGGCACGCTCAGCAAGGTTTCTTTGCACATCTTCAGCAGTGCAAGGAGGCCTGTATCACACACACAAAAATCAAGTCAGAAAGGTGATATCCTGGTATCAAATCTAAATTTGTTCAAGTCCAGCACGTTGTATCCACCATGCAAAATTCCATTTCTTCGAACGAAGTGGGAATTTTGCCATTAGCTTCACTGGAGCCAGGAATTCACTCACAGACTTTTTTTAATCCCACTTGAAATGGCAGAAAATCAAAACAAGGGAGAGCAGAGATGCTGACTGGAGTGCTGCATTTCAGTGGAAGCGTTACCTGTAAACAACCACTTCAGCAAGAAGATTCAACTCCCTCCCCTGTACAGCTGGAAGGCAGCACACAAACAGGGCCTAAAAGCAGGTTTTCTCTTTGAAAACAAAACCAGCAGCCAGCTACTTCCTGCCCGGCACAAGGCTCTTGGGTGCAAGGAAAGGTAAGCAAACCAAAGCCTGGAGCAAACATCAAGTGTAAAATGCCAGGGTAGGTCTACTGACCAGCCACTCAAAGGGTGCCTGCTCTTCTAAAAGCTTGACGAGAATACAGAGCTTAACTGATAAGCAACAACATTAGAAAACACTGATATCACTTGCAACACTAAACTGGATTTTAATGTTTTATAACTGTTTACTCTTTCAACATATTCATGAAGATGTACACTGTCATGACTGTGGGCAACTGGGCATGACACAAGTGGTTTTCCTGCAGATGGTTGATCTACAGGTGCATCTCCAGGCAGGGGTTTTTGCATGGTTAACTGAAGGTTAGAGGTGTAACAATTGCAGATGCCCTGTTCCTTCTGGACTCTCAGCTCATTTTCATTTGGCACAGCAACGCTTCACCAGCATACAAATTCTTCCACCTAAAAATCCTGTGCAATTTAGCACTCACTTATACCCATTATTCCATACACCAGCCTCAGCTACACATGCAACTTTGGGTGCCATGTGCAGCTAGAAAGAACACACACTGATTCCCATCACTCAGTATTCATGTAGCCTGACCCCTGCATACATGTGCTTTTTATACAGTGCCCGTGAAACTAGGGAGACTGGCACTACGGTTGAGGTATTTCTAAGTGATTTTCCTGCCAATGGGCACGTTGTCACTGATTAAAAAGATGAGAGAAGTGCAAAATCAAAGGATTACCAGCTTATCACAGGACTAACTCATTGCCAGAGCTGGAAGAAAAATCACTCGCACCTCCAGTGCCTCCAGTTCATCCACATGTCCCTGTTGATCAGTACCAGCCAAGACCACCTACCCTGAATACAATGATGAACTATGAGCAGCCCCAATGCAGGGTATTGGGTGGGACAGACAGAAAGAGGAGATAGTGCATATTCGCTGGACTACCCAGGAGAAAAGCATGGGTGAAAGCTGATTTGAAGGCACTATACCTTATAGGCAGGGGCACACTGACCAAACATTGCAAAATTTATTAATTGTCCTTTATCACGCTCATGATCAGCAACAACTCCTCTAACAGGGACTAGATTTACATTGGTTATATCTGTATTTTCCTTTGGTTGGACTTTTGGCACTAAAAAGCTGTAAAAACAGACCCTTCCAAAACCTGCAATAAAGGTGTGGCACCATAGCATTCTTACTCCAGAGCACTTGCCTTAGAACAGTAAAGCAAACATTATATATAAAGCAATTTTTATCTGCAGTGTAACATAATCTGGACACAACATAGCAAATTGGACTGAGAGCCTGACTCAGAAAATAATATAAATAATAGCCCCCAATATCAAAAAACCTCCAATGACATTCTACTGAGTAAGCCTAAGCAGGCACCATTGGCCTTCAAGACTATTTTCCCTTCCATACAGCTGCACAGCTCTTAATTACAGAACAGCTCCAAAGACATTGCCCTGGAAGGCTACTCACTGTATGTCAGACCATGCTGAAAACCTCTCCAGCACTCCTTTAATCTGCACAGACCGGGATGTCTCCCAAGAAGCAGGAAACATCACACTGCATATATAACTCCATCAGCTAAGACCTAGACACAAAAGAAGTGCTAGCTATGCTTTGAGTGTAGAGAGGCCACTCCAAAATCCAGAGATGGATATATAGAATGATGACAAAAGAAAAAAAAAAAAAAATCTCTGCTACCAATTCCATTTTCCACAGCAATTCCTCTTTGAATTTGCATCTGCATAATTCACCTCCATGATCTACTTGAACATGGTCAAAACAGAATCCTTACAAATGGTAACTACAGCCATGACATTCACACAAAGCACTCAGATGGAACAAACCTTCTGCCCACCCCCACCCACCCCACTCCAGTATCTGAGGCACAGGGGAATTATTATCACAGAGGTATTGCTAAATGTTCGCTTCCTCAACATTTTCCTACAATCCCATTCTGTATTTTCCATGATTTTAACACGCACAGACTATAAAAGTGCTGGCTCACAGCAAACATATGCAGTTCAACATACAGGATAGCAGAGAGTGAAGGGGAAAGCACGCATGTATATCCGGGATGGCTGTGCCAAGGCTGTTTCTTTCAGCCTCGCTGAGTATATCAACCCTGTTGCTACTGTGTGAATGAATATTTCACTTCAGCAGCATGTGTCCATCTCTTCTCCACTGCCCATTAGAGGACACCTGGTTGCACAGAGCAACCCCAGATCCCCAAGGCTTCCTCCCCTTCCTGGCAGATGAGAGCAGTGACCACACATCAGTGCATGTTGCTTTTCGGAGTAAGCGATGACGGACGTCCAAGGACAGGCTCACTGCCTGCCCTGTTCCTGTCAGCTGGAACATCAGTCAATGATCAGTGTCTGGCAGCACCCGTCTTGAAAAAATCATCGCTGCAGATACATAGCCCCCTCCTCCCACTGCCCTGGAGTTGGTCGCTCCCTGAACACACAAAGGGAAAACCTACACAAACTTGTATCTCAGCCATTCCTTGCTGCCTCATTCCCTGTTTTACTTTGCTCATGCACACACGCACATGCACACGCACTAGGGATTTAGTCTTTCCCCAAAGCATCTCCTTTTAAAGGATGCAGCAGACAAGGCGCAGATGCATGTCTAACCATAAATCACAGCTGCCCGCTCCTGAAAGACCACCAACAAAAGGAAAAAGCCATAAAGCTGCAATGCTCAGAGTAAATATATCATCAGCTTAATTGCCCTCTTGGGAATAAAGATGCAGTTTGCACATGACTGTGCTCTCTGTGTGCGTTTCTGTGTAATAACAGGGACCAACAAGGGCTACAGAATAGCACACCTCCTCCTGGCACAATAACAGGAGAATTAACAAAAAACTAGTAAAAAAAAGCCTTTGAAATATATTACCTAAAAAGCTACTTTCTTTATTGGATCATTAGCTAGAGCACATTCGTACTGATACTAGCCAGGATAAATTTCAAATGAGAGAAGAATAAAGTCTAAAACCTCATATTTACCCCCTCTTTTGGGAACACCTGTAGTTCACCCTCATTCACTGCTGAAACTTTTAAAAAGATTTTCCATCAAACAGTCTTTATTCCTACAATGCTCATTGCGTTTATGCAGTTACCAGATGACAGGAATTTCCAAACCAGGCAGATGTGGCTTGCTTTCAAAACAGTTTTGGATGAAATACCTTAAATTTGCAGATGTTCTAAATAAAACTGTAAAAAATATAAACAAATTGAATTTAGGTTTCTTTTATTTAGGATTAAGTCTTACAGGATCCTAAACACTACCTAGATTTAGCAAAGGACTTAACATTAAGTATTTGAGCAGTTTGTTAATCCTGGTGGAACTAACCATTGATTTTACTGAAAGTTAGTCAACAACGTGTTTAACCAAATGCATACCATTAAGTGCTTTACCATGTCCTGGATAAGTTGCTGGTTTCATTTATTTAAAGCCTGTTTCAGTACTTTAATTTCTGCAAAACAATGCTTTTCTTACATTGATCCTTTTTCCAAAAGCTAATTGTTCTTCCCAGCAGGTTATAATTTTAAAAGTGCATCAAATGTCAATGAACAGACAGTCGACGTACCTGCAAGTGCTGCTCTTCTGCATGACGTCAGCTCGATGATATCCAGAAAGTTTACAAAAACCGTCATTACTATAAACTACGGGCCAGTCCACAATCTGGGCATTTCCCAACAAAAAACTGGATTCTGAAAAACGAAAAGAGAAAAAAAACAGAAACGGCTGTTGTCAGTGGCAAAGTACAATTAAATCCTCTGTGTATTACACAGCAGATGCAGAGCGCTATTCATGATGGTAACGACTATCATGAAATTTCAGAGGGAACTGAAATCAAAATAGGCATCAGAAAAGAAATCATGATGAAGCAGGGTAATTCCTAGCAAGGTAAGTAGCTTCTTGCACCCCAAAATACTGATAAAAGCACCAATGCTTTAACCATTCAGAAACGATTCATTTATTCACAGCATCTGGGCAAGGTACTAAGTTTGATTTTCATTTTATATGTAACTTGAACTCAAATCTTAAATTAACTGGCAAACTGAGTTTTAAATGCTGAACCATATGTGTGCCCAATGCTGATGACGGCTCGCTTGCCTAAGACAAGTAAATTTTTCCTCCTGGCAGGTCCCAGTCTGTTGTGCAGGACACAGCCAGCATCCCTGGTTTGAGGGACAGAGAGCGCCAGGAGCTGTTGGGGAAGGGCGAGATGTGCCCACTGCATCTCATGGTACATTACAAGCCACTTCACACCTGGGAGGGCAGATACGAGGTGATCCACAGCGAAATGATCAGGGAACATGAGTCGGCACAATCAGGGAACTGACGAGTGCCAAAGGGACTTACACATTGAAATAACACAAAACAGGTACTGCATTTCAGTGGCAGTCCCTCAAAAATGGAAATAGGTGGGTTTGGCTCATCCTAGTAACTTGCATCCATTGCTGTAAATACAAAATATGGGCAGGGAGTATTTCTAGGAGGCTGAACTCAGGCTTAAATATCGCTTCAGTCATCTGTTCATTCAGTCAGTGCCTACAGTTTATACGCACGGACTGGCACCAACACATTATGAGTTAGTCCTAAAATAGTTTTGGAAAGATCCTTCCATCCCTGCTTTTAGCAAGGCATTTCCAAAGAAGAAAATACCCATTTTGCTAAAACACAACGTTGTGGGATTTTATGTTCATCGACACTCTAAATGTTCCTAATTTTTTTCAGAAATAATATTCTCACTACTTAGTAGAGTTTCTCAAATTGTAGTCTGTGGTGATCTTTGCAGTTTATTTTTACCGTTATTTTTCAATTCCATTTTGACTACAGCTATGGAACTAACTGGTCCCATTCATTGACACTAAAAATATAACTGTAAACAATCACTGCTGTACAGAAATTATAGGAAACGTTCCTTTCATCAGTTCTTCTGGTGAAGAAAAAAAATTAAGGAGTTTTTTACAAATTTTCCTCATAGTAGCCGAAGAATGGTTATGCCAATTACTTACAGACATATACCCAGGTGCACACATTCATTTTCACATAAAAGTGACACTGGGTTTGCGTGAGCTACACGCACCCTTCTCAGAGTATTTATAACTGTGACTGGATTGTACATTACGCAAACATTATTCTGTTGAACAAGGAAAGTGTACTCAGAAAAATGGAATGTCTTTCCTTTTTCTTTATAAGCCTGAATTTGTAAAAAAATAATCTGGAGATTATTGGATTTTCTATAGGAAAGCAGATTAAAGAAATATTCAAAAGCCAACCAATGTGAGAAATAGAAGTTTAGATTTTGTGAAATCTAACACTTTTAAGCTCAAATAATTTATTTGACTGCATCACAAATACTCTTAAGCCTAAACAGCAACATTAAAAATTTGCTTTCCCAGGTGAAGGGAGATGCTCTCGCCACAAGCAGCAAGAGATACGGAGTAAAGCCTGAGCACTACATAAATTTAAATCTCCCTGGCTTTCCACATCCCTTCCTGCACCAGGGCGTCAGCCCAGCTTTCCACAGCACAGCAGAGATACTAACACAGGGGTCATCCTAACCCCCTGGAAACCAAAGGGTTCACTGCAGCTCATCCCATTGTACTGATGATGTCACCCCAACACCTTGCACCATCTCCAATTTGGAAAAGGGAAGACACCACCAGCCCCCTAAATCTGCCAGGCTGCCCCGTGGTGGCCACCTTACCACCACAAGCAGCTGGAGAGGATGGGAGCGTAAGCAATTCTTCATTTCCACCCCACAGGGAAAGGACCAATATTACAAGCCCTCTGGTTAGATTTGGAAAGATTTCTTTATAGGACTACCTTTCGCCGAAGTTTTGCCCACATATCTAGCTACAATGGGCACAACCTGGGCAACAAGAGACTGCAACAGCAAACTCACTCCTAGATGCTGTGCACTTCTGGGTGCTCCCCAGAGGACCACAGTACAAAAGCAGATAACCCTGCTTCAAAGCCTCCCTGTCCAACAGACGGAATCATGATTGTGTATTCCCACCACATAACTGTTTCAGGACACAGAGGACACAGCAGAAGATACGTGTTGCAGCCAGCAGCCAATATACAGCATTTAAAGGTTGTCTTCTATGGATTTTATACTTCTTTACACACTGATAGTTAAAAGAAAAAATCCCATAGAATCAGAAAAAAAATAGACATTAGTATCTTGGTGGGTACTAACATTTGTAAGGTTAGATCAGATATAGAGTGTATGTACCAGAAACTTCCCCAGATATTAAAATATATTTTCTCTTTTTCCCCATGAATTTTCCTGTACTTAACTGACTTCTTTTTTTATCTTTGTCTCCTAAGCAAATAAGGTTTATTCATCCATGCTCAGCACGTGACTATGTATGTGTGTGTCCTATTCCAACTGAAGAAAAATCTTGAATCAATGTTTACATCTTGTTAGAGACCAATGACTCTAACTGCAGGCACAAAGCCATAGGAATCCATGTTTCCTTAATGCTGCTGCTCAATGAGAGGCTTGATAAAATTTAAGGAAGAGCAAGTCAGCTTCTGACCCTTAGGTTTTATTGCGTACCCAAGCCTCAGCATCTACAGGACTGCATGCCTACCCTACATTTGATCAGGAACCACGTTAATTTCTCCAACCAAGACACGTACCCATTATTCCCTATTTCTACAATTTCTCCAGATTAAAACTCCAGGCAGATTTAACTTTACAATAGCCTCTCCCTACCCAGCTGTAAACATCCAAACTGTGTACTGGATAACAGGACAATTTCAGAGAACCTCTGGTTTGGGGCCATAATTTCTTAAAATTGCAGAGTGCAAAGGGACACAGAGGAGTTTTTGCTTTTAGTCCTTTGCTGTGACTCCCTGTATATTCTCTAAGATGTCTCCATTTTGGAGCCTAACCTTGGTCAACAAAAGAGCCTCCTTAGTAGAGAATACAACCTTAGGGTTTCTAGGAGTTTTATGTAGTTGGAGAAGAGACTGCTTTACATCACAGCATCACCACTAACCACTCATTAAAGTCCATTTCTGCAGTTACCTCCCTGAGTTTGGGTCCTAACAGCCAGTTCTGGACTAAATCCACCTGCATGCCCAAGTTCCATATTTCTACCACTCAGTTACATGTTTTCCTTGCTAAGAAAGGTCAATCACAGTTGTGTCTTGGGTTAAGATTTCCATCAGTCTGACTATGGCAAATTCCACTCTCTTCAATTTCCAGTTGTCAGCTTGCATTTGGTGTGAGACATAAGCGTTTGGAACACCTCTCCATCTTCAGTTGCCATAGGGCAGGCTAACACCAAAGAAAAGTCTGTCCCCTTCCAAATACAACTGGCTGCATGTTCCTCCTGGCCTCCTTGGCCAGCAGCTCCAAAGCAAGGACCCTCCGCCAAGGGCACCTTAGTGTCCCCCTGTGCCCTGTTGTGGTGACTCTGTGGTGAAGTCCCATAGCAGCCTCTCAGCACAAGCCAAGTCATCAACCAAGCAGACGAGATACAGCAAAAGACAAGTGTGCTACAAACCTGCCAGTCTGCCAGACAGCGGGCTGCCAACTGACTTGCTCCCTCCTGGGATACATCTCCATACAACAGGGAGGAAACGCCCCCAAACCACAGCTATTCACCCGATGGCAGCCCAGCATTGCTGCAGGCAAGCACCGGGTGTACCTCCACCATCAAATCCCAGGTTCGCTCCTGGTCCTCCCCTTCCCCTGATGGCCCACACTCCATACTGGTTAGCTGATACCAAAGATCTTTTTAAGAGTGAGACAAAGGACTTTTGCAAGACCACTCTTCAGTAAAGCACGGGCATAAGCCCTGCAATGCCACGCATCAAGGACTGCCCCCAGGGAAGATGCTTTCTGCAAGACATGCCCAGGCTCAGACTCCCTGCACAGGAATGGCAAGCTCTCCTGGCCTGCTCTAGTCTTCAACAGATAAGACTAGTGTTTTGGGCCTTCTTCAGAAGAAAAAGAAGCCACAAAAGGTCTGCAAATTGCAGGGTGATGAGCGTACCAAGGACACCGGCACTGTGATCTCCACAGCCATTTTCCTGTGGATTCAATACACAAGAGACATATTCTGCAAGGTAGGTTTTTTTACGAATGTATTATATAGAAGGTATTCTCAAGAATAAGTATTTCTTAACAGAGTTTAGCTACTAATAAGTGGACAACACCAAATTCAGCCACGACATCTACACCAGAACACCTGAATTTACTCCATTTTTAAGTATACCATGACTTCACTGAAAGAATAGTATCACAACAGGGATCGCCAAGGATAACCGAAGTTACAGATGGCAATGCATAAATACAGCTCGCATTCTACAGTAAGACACTGGTAACTAAAACTTCCGCAATATCTGTGCTGCGGCCGAGAAAGGAAAGTCCTCTCTCTCCAGGTACAGCAGCACTCAGTCTCACAAGTATTTTACTGTGGAGGCTGGGAACCTCTCCCTTGGTCTGCTAGACACTAGCCAGTGCTGAAAGCAGAACAGTAAATCTGACAGACCAATGGTCTGATCCAGCACATGAAACTCTATGCAACTGTGATCCAGACTATCATGTGGTGCTATCTCGTAAAACATTAACACACAGCTAAAACCCTCATGATGTTTACCCTGAAATGCCTTGTAATGCATTCATCCTTGCTTGGATTTCTCCAATGCACTGAAAATGCATTTCCACTTCCCATTTCCTTAG